ATTTAAAAAAAAATTACAAATAGGCTTAATAATTTAATGGTTAATCAAAAAAAATTGTCAACCCAAAAACCCAGTCCTGCAATCACCTCCGATCTTAGTCTACATTTCTACACCCCATTCGCTCTCTATTCTCTAAAAAAATCTCAATACACTCATATTTACACACTTCGACGCTCTTCACCAAATTGAACCTGGATCGGCTTGGCCTAGATCGAGATCACATTTGGTGACGGCTTGGCCCATTGGCAACGACTTATGGGACATCATCATTAACATTTAGGTGATCATCACTCTCACAACCTTAATCTTGGAGAGCTTGTTCGGTGCTTCTCTAGTGGTCTGGTGATGCAAAGAACAATGAGGTTTGCCTTGAGATAATGAGGTTACAACTGAGGTGCATCCATTGTTGGTTGAAAACTATTTCCCCACCCCTGTTAGGCCTTGGTTAAACCTTATGCCTTTGAGAATTTATGGAAGGGAGCTCTCTTCAAAGTAGACCCTACTATAAGAAAAAAAAATTCCATTGTGCAAAAAAGTATTTAGACAACTTTTTTAATTAATAATTAAATCCACAAACCCACATCAGCACATAACAAAATATTTTTACAGATTTGTGGCGAAATGATCATTTTGATTTGCGACACGTATTTTCAAGAACTACATTGATTGATTTTCAATTTCAGCGACCATATTGATAGTGTGGGTCAATTTCAAGGACCATCTTGATGGTGTGCGTCAATTTCAGGGATCATTTGTGATAAAAACCTTTGTTACTATTACTTAGTAACAAGTGTTACAACTATTACTTGCTACCTATTCATGGTCTGTAGGGAGCGTCCTGTGGATTTAGGGTCAAGCTGAACTTCCTCATACAATCAACACTTTAATATTTCGGCCAATTACAAGTTCACGCAACTAGGCTCAGCTATAACTATTATTTAATAATAAGTATTATAGCTACTACCAGTGTTCTAAAAAAGGCCTAGGCGGTGGTGACCCGAGGTGTTTTCTTGCAAATCGGTTGGGCTCTAAGCGGCCTAGGCTGTGCTAGGCGACTAGGCAGTTTTTTTTTTTTTTTTTTTTTTTTGAAATTTAAAAAAAAAATCCTATCTAAGTCGACATACTACTTGCAAGTGAAGCTAGTATGGCTCAAGGATGGATTGTGGAAAGTGGTGATGAAGAACTTAAGCTTGGCTCAGGAATTATAGAGACATCGGAGGTAGGTAGTTCCCTAGAGCCTAGGGGGAGTTCTAAAACTGTTGAAGTAAGAGAACTTCATGAAGAAGATTTTATATCGAATGAGGACACGGAAGAAGAAGAATGAGATGATCAAGAAGTTGAGTTTGAGTCCGACACGAAGATAGTCTTGGAAGGATATGATGAAGAGGAGTTTGATGCCCAGCTTTGTAACTTTGCAAGTATCTTACATTACTAATTTCCTTTTTTTCCTCCTATGTTTCATTTTATGTGGTTTTAAATTGTGAACTTGTTGCACATGTGTCATCCTGCATTACTCCTCACTATGGTTATGACATATATGCTTAATGTGTTTTTAATTTTGGACTTGTTGGATACTCTTTTTACATTTTATCATTCTTTTATTATCTTATCCATAGATTTCATACAAGTATAATTTTTTATAAATGTCAATATGCACTTATTTACAAGATATACAAGAATTTACCTAAATCCGCCTAGGCCGCTTAGGCACCCACTAGACCCCGTCTAGGCACCTAGGCGCTAGGCGCCAGCCTGCCGCCCGATTAGCGTCTAACGTTTTTTTAGAACCTTGGCTACTACTTAGTAACTTCCTAAAAAAACACATGAGTCAACTATAACTACTATAAGGTATGTCAAACTATTTTGCTGCTACCTTGTTATCGTGTTAAACGTTTGAGTTTCTTGCATCTAATTACCGTAATATCATTCTCCTCTAAATTTCAAAAGTAAATCAAACTACTTGGTTTCATAATTCTTATACTAAATTTTGCGTATTTTTGTTACTACAGTTATCAGCTTGGCTTACTGGAATCGAGATACTACGTAGCATCTTGGAAATTAGTTTCTTCTCCATTTGGTTCTTTGATTTGGATCGATGCAAGAAAATCAGTGAACTTTTAGCTTGAAGAAAGGGTACCTTGGTAAGTAGTTAAATATTAACAATTTTGGCCTTTGTATTGTGCATTTGGAACACAACATACGTTCTTTTCTTTTTTCTTTTTTTTTGAAAAGATACGATAGTATATTTCATTTCAGCAAAACATAATCACAGTACATTGGTTTCCATCCATTTCCTAGACACTTGAATGAGATTCCTCAACAAGTAGATCAACAATGATACTTGGAAGGGAATCCAACCATTCACAACAATGACTTAGAGATAGACAAGTCCTAGCGAGATAGTGAGCGGTAGCATTTGCTTGGTGGGAAATAGTAGCTTCAGTGACTGTGGCTAGAAGCTCTTTACAATCCTCTACAATTTGTTCAATGGTGGACAGATTGAGGCAAGGATCCATAAGTGCCTCCACAATCTAAAAAGAGTCAGTTTCAACCAAAAGAGAAGAGAATCCCCTGTCAACTGCCCAAAGCAAACCCGCCCTTACCACCATGGCCTCCGATTGGAGCGGAGAGAAAACATCCTCAAAGCTTCCGCAATGCGCTGTCACGAACACCATGTCACTGCCACGGATAACGGCCCCAAAACCCGCGACCTTTATTTCAGCATTCCAAGAGCCGTCAACGTTCATTTTGAGGCGTCCTGAGGGAGGTGCAACCCACCTGGGTATGACCTAGGTCCCAGTACCGCAATTTGAAGTAACACATGACGACCTTACGTCCTACCACCACATAATAGCCCGAGATACACACACCTCAAGTGGCTGGACACTCTCCTGCCATAACTTTGTGTTCCTGCACCCCAACATATCACAAGGCACATCTCAAAGTTTAATTTGGAAATTAACTCACTTTATAAGGGACATCCCAGCATATCATAAGGCACAAAATACCTATATGTTGCAGAATATGTTGAAATGACTCACTTTAATGAGGCACTTACATACTTAAAATTTGAAAACTCTACAATTCACTGAACATATTTATACATAAATCGTCAAATGAACTTTGAATACAATGCAATCATGTTCAAGAATGAATGCTGAATTGACAAGTTTCACTAATGATATTAGGAAATTTGTTAGCTTTGCTACTTTTTCTTGCCAAATTACAACTCATTTGTAAAATGTGCACCTCTGTCCTACTTTCAGAGATTCATGAGCTCTGGCTGTGACGCAGTGTTTGCCGCCCTCTTGCACCCCATCTCTAACTCACTCTTCTCTTTAAAAACCCTATCATAAAACGCCAAAACACCGCACCCCTCTTCTTTGCATTGAGATCCATTCTGGAAATCGGTGTTGGGAGTTACAGACTAGAGATCTGGACTGTTCAAAAGAGAGAGATCTAGACCATTTTAGTTTTTGGGTTTTTGAAGTGGACTAGTGGGATGGGTTAGTAGGGGTCGTATGATTGAAACTGAGTGGTTTAGATTTCTTAGTTCGCGGGCTCTGAACACAAAATCTTGATCCCTCTTATCCCATTTTGTCTCTAACCCCACCATATCCTCTCTATGTCACACCACCACCACCACCACCGTGATAACCTTTGCATGAGTGGTTGGGGTATGGTTTATTATGGTTTGATGGGTCGCACTCGGAGCTTCTACAGAAGAAAAAAAAATTGAAAGATGACGAAATGCGGTGAAGGTGGATCGAACACCTGACCTTCAGATCTTCAGTCTGACGCTCTCCCAACTGAGCTATCCCCGCTGTTGATGTATAAGCGGAATACATAAGATATTGTGTAATCTGAGCTCTATTTCTGCAATCATTAAAGTTCAAAGAGCTCCAACCCCCAAGCCTCTCAATCCGACCAGCCAACAAACCAGTTGCGTATTTTCTCATAGCTCTCCAGAAACGCAAGAAAATTTCGCAGCGGAAGAAGCAAGCGTTTTTCTCTGCAACCAAACGGCCACAGTTGACCTAGCTTGACCTTTTAATATGCTTTGTGCTCGGTGTTCGACTGTAATCAGGCGACATCTGAAGGCATCCCCACGGCAGCACAATGAGACGGCATTTGTAATAATCAATGGTATCATCGTCATTGCTGCTCCTAGTACCTCTGCCGGTGTTGCTGATGTTGTTCATCATGAACGGATCCAACCCAATTCAACATTCCACAGTAAGCAAGCTCTAATACGATTGAATCTGTCCATACAAGATCGCCGTGCTAATACGAATGAATCCCTCCATTCATCCGTCTCCAGCTGTAATAATCCAGCACTTGGTCTGAAAGTTGAGAATAAAGATTGAGAATTCTCACAACCAGGCACCCATACTCAGCAACCAGCATCGAGTCCATCTTTGTTATTATGCATACAAATTATTTACAATTTTGTTAGAGACTTGTTATTTGTCCTTTAAAATTCTAATTTTAAACTTCAAATTTTCTATATTTAAAAAGAAAAATACACTTATGAATACTGCAAAATGAGATTTTCAGAATGCTAATAATAATTTTCTTTTTTTATTACGTTTTTATAAAATGGGAGTGCAATATGACAATTTAAACAAAAGGAAGCTTTCGAATATCCTTTGTCGTGCTCGTGGAACATTTTTGATTGTCGCGTTATGTGTTATATTTACATCCCAAAACATAAAAATATGGCTTTAGAATAGAAGAGATAAGATAATACTAGAAAGAACAGCTATGTGATAATAAAAATGGAACTTTAACGAAAAGCACCCGGTACTGTTCATTTTAACGAAAAACCACATTTTTACACTAAAAAGTCAATCCTGTACTATTCACTTCATCCTTTATTTTGTCCTTATCATTAAAACTCAAAGTTTTCAAACCATTTTCATTAGTTTTCTTAATAGTGTGTAGAGATCATTTTTAAACCACCGTCCACGAGTCACATCCGAAACTGCATGATTGTTAGTCACATATCCGTAGTAAATACCAAAATCGTCAGATTAAGTTGGTGCAGTGCTGAACGTAGAAAAACCAAATCGACACACGAGAAAGTAGAAAAGCCAAATCCAAAGAGAAATTATCTTTTCCCCTCTCACTCAAGCCAAATCCCACCATGAAATGTTTGAATCCTGAGATTTAGGATATTGGGTCGTTTTGTTCTTAAGAGCTTCCAATCTTTTCCATGGCAACCGTCGCTCAAATCTCCATCAGTTCCTTAGCTTACAGGCTGAGCAGTTTGCACAATGAGATAAGCAAGAAACCCATCAAATATTTTCCTTTATCGAGGACAAAGATTGGGTTTTTGAAGCAGAGCAAGTTCAGGTTGCAGGCTTATTGGGACGGGGATGGGATTTTGGTGGAAGATGAAGGGTGGAAGAGGAACAAGAACAAGAAAAGGGTGGTCGTGGTGAGGTTGAATCAGGGGTTTGGTGGGTTTAATGGTGGCGGAGGCGGCGGTGGTGGTGGTGGTGGGAAGGATGACGGAGCCACTGCTAGACTTCTGGGTAATTTGGCTGTGGCTATTGGATTGACTTATCTTTCGTTTACTGGGCAGCTTCGCTGGCTTTTGGATGCAATTGTTTCCATTTGGGTACTCTCTCTCTCTCTCTCTAACATTTCTGAAGATTTCTGGGTATGTTACTACTGTTTTGTGTATGTCTAATGAAATCGATGGGTTTTGATATGCAGCTGATAGCAGTGCTTGTACCAATTGTTGGTGTGGGTGCTTTTCTGTGGTGGGCAGGGCGGGATATGGTTCAAGACAGTGTAAGCCAACTTCAACTTTTAAGTTTTCTTCGACCGCGTATCGAATTTCTGTTGTTGGGTTTCGCCGGAAAATCTCAACTCAATTGTTGCTTTAATTTTCATGTTCTCAACTTGATCATTTCCCTCTATGCATTTGCAAACATTGACTAGTAATTCAGGATAGGGAGCTAATACCTTTTGTTTATATTAGTTTTGTCTGCTAGATATGTTGGTCTTACATAATGTTTTGGCATGTGTTGGGAGTTAAGTTTCAATCTAGTGATCCTTTAATTTGGGTGATTTATGAAGAATGGATGGTTTACCGAAAAGCTCTGTGATTTTGGTTCATTAGGAGTTGAGAATATTTGCAGTATTAGATGTCTTGATCTCAAATAACTGTATCGCAGGTGCTTTATAAGTAGATAATTTGGATACATGGTTTTGAAGGATTCAAATGCAAAAGTCTAGTGTGTCATAAATCGTAATCAGCTCATTCTTCCCTTTGGGAGAAGTATCAGAGGAATGCATTTTACATGCAGAATAATTCGTACCCAGTGCACAAGGCTCCCGCTTTACGCAGGGTCTGGGAGATACTTGTTCGTACAAAAATTAGTGAACACTCCACTCAAATGTTATCGACTCTTAATCAAGTTTATTTCGAGTAACATCCTGAGGGTGATTTTTTTCCAATGTTACATTTAGATTCTTACTCTGCAGTCCTGTGCCTGGAATGATTGCTTTTGTTTATGTACTTGCAGTGTCCAAACTGTGGAAACGCTTTCCAGATTTTCAAGTAAGACGAGTTGAAATCTGTTATAATGTCAAGCTAACTTATGGATACCTATATCGAATTGTTATGCTCTAGTTTCTAAGGATTGTTATGAATGAAAGTTGGCCTATCTTGGGTAATGATATGATTTTTTGCAGGTCTACTTTAAATGATGATTTGCAGCTGTGCCCCTACTGTAGTCAACCTTTCTCAGGTACATTCTCATATTTTGGTTTCTTGCTTTTCTGAGTTCCAAATTATACTTGCAGCTTCTTCCCTCTTAGCTTTCTGCACTCTGCAGATCTTATACTTACGTTACCATTACTGACTATATTACATGAGTTTTTTTCGTGTTGATGAACCCCTGTTTTCTGAGTAGTGGTCAAAAATTTTGGGTTTGTGTTTTTTTTTAGTTCCAAAAATTCCTCATGCTGCTTTATCCTATCAGTAGAGAAATGCCATTTCACTACGGTGTCGTAACTAGTAGGAATGATTTTGTTTTGGTATTTGATGGGAAAGTAGTGTTGATGTTGCCTCATGTGCGAAGATGTGCTTTAATTTCAGTGGTGGACGACAAGTTTGTAATGGACCCTATAAAATTCTCCAAACAATCTACAACATTTGGGCAGGCATTCAACGACTTCACCCGTTCCACAAGAGGTTATCCCTCAAACCCCTGTCGCCATTTTTCTCTTCCCGATCATATGTTGAGAGCCTGCATTTGATGATTGTTAACGTCTGCATTTTTCATGTCACCATTGCTTTCGTTTTTATCTGCATTAAGGGCGAAGGGTATAAACCGACTCATAAGCATCGATGAATCCATAAGTCGTAGGGCTTATTTAATCAGTGTGTGCGTCCAATCGATATGTTTTCTGAGCGTTGACACTGGTTACAGGGAAGGATTCTTCGAAGGCAGTCGTTGATATCGAAGCAGAAGTAAAAGATGCAGACTGAGGTTGCTTGGAAGAAAAACTACTTATGTTTCGAAATGATTTGGTTACTCGTAGATAATGGAAAATAGCACATATAGAATAGACAACACAATAGTTGTATTGAGAAAGCTTCGAAAGAACATTTTGCTTCGTGCGTTGTATATTATTTACGGACGCGAATTGTTCATTTTCTTCATGCATTCTTTTGCATTGGCCTTGTGCTTGATGAAGCACGCGGAACCAATTGAGTTTGTTCTAAGTTTTCGCAATTGCTCACTCAACTTTCCTTCATATAAGGCTATGAGATAAAAAAATTTCCCATTCAGTGTTATGAGGTGTGGAGGAGGATTCAAACTTGGGTGCGTCGGGAGGAACATATCCACTATAAGCAAAACCAACGTTTGATAAAGTGAACAGGCACCGTGTAGTTACAAAGTTGCCATGTACAACAGAAACTGCCTAAAAAGGTACGGTGTCTTGTAACATCAGAAATTGCATCCTCATTGTAAAATATTCCGACGCCAAGGACACGGTTTATTTATTTGCACATATATTCAGGTCCCCCGAAAGTTTAGTGTGGCCGTTCTTCAACTCTCTGCAAGAAAAGGGAAGCAGATAAGGAAAACTTCATCTAGTGCACAGTTACTTCAAAGTTTCAGAAATATGCAAGTCATACAACAAGAGCTACAACCAATCAATGCTTTGATATGAACAAAAGAAAACACCTCTAGTAGGTGAAACGTGCATCAAGACACCGTATAGATAGCGTACAAAAACAATCCACCCAACTCATACAACTCAAATCATTTTTGGTGGCCAAGTTCTCAACGGCGAATAGAGCTTCCTGCATTGCATTTATACTATAACCTATAATGCAAGAGTTAAGAATTGACGGTGCACATGCGGCCCCAAGACAGTAAATACTGGATACAACCATGTAATAGAGTATGAGAAAGCACTTAACACATTGATTATTTAGTTTCATGAGATCATGACATGAAAATGAAATAGACATAGTACCCCTTCCTTTTTGTCCTCTTTGCCTTTTGTGAAGAGCTTGTAACCCCCATATATAACCGCCCCCCATCCAGCTAAAGAGACGAGCACAAACTGTAAGGGACCAAAAAGAAAAAGCCAGGTGAAGCAAAGCCATAAGATGTTAAGAGTTTTGACTATCATGAGCAATAAGTTTGCGCTCGCATGCAACGTTGTTGAGAGCAATCCAGTTATTTTGGTGTGAGGACTTAACCAAATCATTTTGTGTCGTTTTACTGAGTAATTCAACAGACAACTTAACGACATCCCCCAGCATATCTCCTTCTCTCCCACATTATCATATGGACTAGAGCCTCAATATACACCCTGAATAATAGCATTCAAACCTTCTCACACAGACATACCACCTTTTCGGAGTGGAATCTAGGACCACTGCATAGTGCATACATAGCACCGGTAATTCGTTCCTCAACATCACAAAGGGACTGAGAGCTGTCCATTCCGGATTTCTATTTCACCCTGGGGGTGCAACTTTTTGATTGACGCTAAAAAACATATAACCGCGAGCTATCCATTGATTATAAACTTGACAAAACATGGAGTTTTGACTTTGCATGGATCTTCCTCGGAACATAATAAGCACAACTAAGGGGCTAGAATGCGCGTAACATGACCACAAGAATGATCATGCCAAAACAAGACATTCCTCAAGTAAATAAGTAATCGATAGTCTCAACAGCGAACCGCAACAAAACCATTAAGGACAAGACAGAACAGATGGAACACGTAAGGGTAAAAATAACATGATATAAAACTCACATGTTCTTCCTTCCATTTAGATGGGTGCATTGGGTCCTCCCAAAAGTTCACCTTCGGAGGTCCATGATGATCTGCAACACAGTCAAAACAAGTACAATATCAAGTAAACAATTCAATTCACTGATAGTCAGTGGACCGGATAATTTAGATTTTCCAAAAACTTTCACGACATGGGCACTGGCTTAAAGTTGATAACCCCGTGGCCCGTAGTATAGATTAATTTAGCGTAGACTATCGCTTCGACTGCAGTCCATATGAATTCCAGGTCAGGAAAAGAAAAAAAAAACACGCATAGTTCTAAAAAATAGAGGAATTCATACATGTTAATTTTCTCACACTTTCTGAGCAACCAAACGCAAACGTTGTAAGGAAAAAGATTAAATGGGGAGCTATTGATGAAACGAAAAGAGGTGAATCAAAGTTGAATGAATTACCGCCGCCGCCGGCAAGACCGCGCCGATGGACGAGGGAAGCAGATTTTGCGGTGGAAGCCGACTTGGGAGAGGAAAGCCACGCCATATTCGCTGCTTGACGGGCCGTCGCTGTCCATGCCGCCATTGTTCGGTGGTCTGATCTCTCTACGCAAGGTTGTCAGCTCGGAGTGAATATGTGGAAGTCAGAGAAGCTACACGCGTGTGAAGGACAATGTAGAAGAAACCTGTGCGAAAGTAAAAAGAAAATTGTTTCTGAATTTCCATAAATGCCCTTCTATGTTTTTCTTGTTTCCTCTTCGGTACGAGGACTTCCATTGCGCGGTTACGACCGTCCCTAATTTTGTTTTATTATATTTCCCAATTTGTAAAATACAAAAATACTCTGAGAAGGGCACGTGGAAATCTTAAGTGAACATTTGAGGTTATTTCATAATTTGTCTCATTTTTTGTCATATTCTTGAGTCCTCGTTGATATAAACGTGTGAGTGCAAAGTAGAATAGAATTTGAACCTAAACGAAGATTTTACAAAACTCAAACGTCAAGGATATCTTAGTAAATTCAATTTATTTTACTTTATTTTTTATTTGCGTGCACTAAACCACTATCTCCCTTCCATTGTACGTGAGGATATGCTTCATACAAGTGAGATTCGAAGCTAACCACCACTGTTTCGTTTTCCAATGAATTCTGCAGAACACGATGAGGCCATTCCGACCTAAATCTCGTCGAATTGGATGAGTTTGTGGTCACAAATTGATCCACCATCATCCTTAGGCTGAGATTCAAACATTTCATGCTCAGATATTCGCGGATTCAAACCTTGAATTTCAACCTTGGATCCACGGGAATTTGAAACCTTGAATTACAAGTAGTGACTTCTTCGTTCGGTTTTCACGGTTTTTTTGCACCTTTAGGCCAAACCGAGGTGAGATTTGAATTTTGCACCCTTAAATTAGTGTAATAAATAGTATAGTGGTTTCCCATATAGGAGAGACTTACTCCGAGAATTACAAAGGTTAGACAAGGTAAGGCGGCTACAATCCAACAACATATGAGTGAGTGGGTTTTGTTTTCAAACATCTACTATATTTATATAGTCTCGATGATGGCTTTATGAATGTTTTACACCATGCCACACCGTTACTTAGAAATGTTACATGTTGAGGTTGAGATGAGATTTATGAAATTATGGTGGCATAATCATACATATTTTACTTGCTCATCATGCATGCTTACACGGATGTCTATAGTACTCGTTCTGGCCAAGACCAACTTCATGTATATGTTTACATCGCACTATTATGCTCATTTTGGATTCATTATAGATGCCAACATGTACTAGTTGTTTTTGCATTTAGGACTCGTAGGTGATGCGCTTAGCGCTAGCTTCACATGTATGTAATGCTCAAACGTAGATTATTATGCCTAACCTGTTCATGTAGCTACTTTATACATAGACTTGCGTGTGTTGCATTTTTTTTTATGAGCATATTGGTTACATTTGTTGAGATAGTTGTGATTTGCATGTATCCTTAGTATAACTACTTTTATACCATTCACGTTGGTTTTGCATACTTATACATATTATGATTTTGGAAACTATGGGTTTTACAACTAAATGTCACTGGGTTACGAAAAGCAAAGGTTTTGGTAAATACTTATTTTGCCCACTCATATTTTTGTTTTGCGTTCCTCCAGGACTTAATAGCTGGACTCTATGGTGAGCAAGGGTTCATTAGGGGATTTTGACATCTACTTCTAATAATGTAGGAAGTTTATTTCCTGTTACTTGTGTAATATCCGTCCTCCCCAAGGTGAGAATTTTCTCACCTTTACTGCACTTTTGTCTATGCTTTGACACTACATGCATTTGTAATAAGGGTTCTTTCCGCCTTGCGCACTCTCACTCTTTGTCTAATTTAGTTCTAGACTTTGGTTTTAATCTATTTGTACGCTTTACACATCATTTGCATATTATGGCATCATCACCTTCCAAATGTATGTTAACATGCCTCGATTTCAATGTTCATTTGGATATCCGGGTCAGAGTGTGTCAGCACCGTTATATTGTTATTGTGTCATTTTCGTGCATTGTAAATTGCTTCCCCATTATATATCATGTATGTCACTTCCTTTTTGTACATCAATCGAAAGTATCAACAAAACTACGTATTTCATATAAGCTCCGTATGTAGAGAAAATAAGCATAAACAAACCATCGAGAAAACTTTAATGATGTCTAAACTTTAAACATTGTTTCACTTTGTTCTTTGAACTTCCAATTTGAATTTCTGATCCCTAAACTTTCAATTCATGTATGTAAATTCTAATATCCGAAAATTCAATCTTGTGCTATGCACATCACCAAAATTTCAAGGGCATATATGTCAACACCACGCTACATTTACAACAAATGTTATTAAAAGGATACGTTTACAGACTACAGTAAATTCAAAAGGTTTTTAATGTACAAAACAGACAAAAACAACCCTCAAATTGACAAGATAATTAACAAAAGAGTGATGATATTCCCACCCCGGTGTCTTATTTCCCCACCCACCTTTTTATGAATTTTTTAATTACAAATTTATCCATTTGTAAAATGACTAATAGGGATCTTACTTACTCCTTTTTGCATTAATTTTTTTTATAAAAAAAGAAAAGAAAAGAAAAGTTTAGAAAATTTGTCTCCCATAAACCCTAACTCATCATTTTCATCCCCTTTCATTCAGAGAAAGCAAAATCGTTCAGAGAAAGCAAAAAGAATGAATTTAGAAGATGACATTTCTATGGAACAAGTAGATGGCTATGTTTCCGTCAAACAGGTAAAAGATAATTTTATGTGGACCATCTTGATTTGTCGACATGAATAATTGAAGCATAGCTTTGTGACTTTTTATTTGAATTTGCATTAGGTTAGGGTACAATTTGTTTCATGTTTTCCTATGAGAATTCCTAGAATTCGTTGGAATTGTTTTAATTAGGTTAGGGAAAATTTTGCAATTGGTTAATTGATATCGAACCTGTTAGCGAGGGCTGGGGAGGTTCCACCAGCAGCGTCACAATCTTGCTCTAAATCTTTGCCTTTTAGTAAATTTTCCAATTGGTTAATTGATATCGAACCCGTCAAAGTGCTTCACAGAAACCTGATAGGTTATGTAATCACCAAGATTATCAGCCTTTAGAAAGGCAAAGACATCATCCTCTGTCAGCGAAACTCTTCGTAGTTGGTATTGAATTGTGAAAATTTATCCCATTAGAAACAGAACGGACAACAATGTGACTGAAAAAAGTATATAGGCAATGAACATGTATTGCTGCTGCTGCTGTATCCGAGGTTGTTCCTTTTTGGTCAATTTCGTTTATGGTTTATCACTGGGGTTTATTTTTTCTTTTCTTTTTTCCGGTTTTTAGAAGGTTTGTTTATTTTCTTTTTTTTTTTTAAAGAAATTTATCTCTAATTATATATAGGGTTATTTTAGGAATAATAGTGGGTGGGAAAATAACATTTTAATTTTTTAACTTTTTATAGTGGGTGTAAATATAACGTGGGTGAGGAAATAAGACAACGGGGTGGGTTTAGCAGCTCTCTTAACAAAAACCGCATGACGTGATGGCACAAATTGAAAGGTCAAAGCGCATGGTGAAACAAGGTCTATGATTAAAGGGACATAACTAAATTTCCCAATGTTCTTTTGGGAAAAAATTTTGCTTAATAATTTGAGTGCTATATACTCACCAAATCTTGGGACAATATTTCATTTTATTGAAATTTGAGCTCATTTTGAACTTCATTTATTATTAATCCATATTGTACTTAAATTTGTGCAGATATATCATTTGATCAACAAAATTAGCAAATAAATTTAGTATAACAATGTTGTTGATATGTAAAACTTATATTTCAGAAAAGCAAATGTATATACCACAACAAATTGAGAAATTGATGGATTAAGTTGTCAAAGGAGTTGCTCCAAAAATACTAACACAGCTCAAGTTCATAAACATTCATATCATACGGAACAAATCTCACTTCAGAATGAAATGGTATTTTAAATTTACTAAGTAATGGATGCTTGGTAAAATATGATTTATCCCCAATACTATATCACTTTGCATTTGGTCATTAACATTAAATCTCATTCTAAAGACGCGAACGAATGAAGATCTTTTTCTTATTGTCCTGCAGAAGATCTGAACCCCGAACGCCTTCATCCGGCATCTTCTTTGGATGCTCCATGTTCGAGTGCATTTACGCCATCACTACTAACTTAAGATCTTCCGGTTTCTTCTTGTCATCAAGAGATGCTGAAAGGGGTGGTTGATCCTATAATCCTTCCTGTAGAATCTGATGCACTTGCTTCCGACCTGCAGCGATAGAAAACAATGAAAAAATGGAGAACGAGAAACAATCACGAGTGCGTGTACACCGTTACCAAGTTGAAAACATGGAAGCAGTTAACAGAAAGAACCAGTTCGAATATAAGTATTTAGCTGATTACCCCTTGAACATCGAACCCATTTCAAATTTTTCCTTAGAACTTTTATTTTGGTCATTTCCCTCGAACTATTACTAATAGCAAATTCACCCTTACCATCAAGTTTACCAAGAACTCAACCAATTTTCTGTCCAAAATATCCCCCGTCGTTAAATGTTATTTGATAGTTATTATTTTGCTTTCTTAGTGTTGTTCCAACCGAAGTTCACGCAATCATGTTGACACGCTTGTTTGTACCATACTTGATCAATCCCGAAACTACTAAACACCGGTCAACATTATACCGCCAAGGACCCACAAGAGTCTCCCTCCAACCAGGAGTCCAATCACAATGCGACACATGTCAACATCAGAGGCCAATCATAACGCGACATGTGTCGACATCAGAGGCCAATCACAGCACGACACGTGTCAATGTCAGAATGAAACTATAAACTTTCTTCTATAAATAGAAATTATTCTCTCACAATATTTCCTAATGTCATTTGTACTAAATCATTCACTAGTACTCACAAAAGGAGAGCTTGAACCTATGTACTTGTGTAAACCCTTCACAATTAATGAGAACTCCTCTACTCCGTGGATGTAGCCAATCTGGATGAACCACGTACATCTTGTGTTTGTTTCCCTGTCTTTATCCATTTATATACTTATCCACACTAGTGACCGGAGCAATCTAGTAAAGGTCACAAACTTAACACTTTCTGTTGTACCAAAGTTCTCACTGATTTTGTACATCAACAACGCTCGTCCATCCGAATTCACAAAGAACGTAGTTAGGATCTAAATTAACAGCTCACGCATTGAAAAAGGAGAAGGAAAGAGCAATGAAATTATGAAAGCAATTTTCCTTTTCCAATCCAAGGAATATATACAGAGATCAGAGAATGTAATGTGAAGAAACTGAAAAATATCAAATCCAGGACACACATAATCAATCTGTTGAATTTTATAGAGGGTGCAACATAAATATATAGAGTTCAGTTCCAGTAACCTATTAAACTCACTTCCCAAATTATATTTGGGAATTTGTTAACATGGAAATATGAAGGGAAGAGCCCTCCCTTTTCAGTGTATCCAGATACTCAGCTGAAGGTTGTGCCCTTGCAACTTTGGCAATAGCCTTGTTTTCTTCATCTGTCCCTCCCTCCAAAAACGCTCCCACAATCCTCCCGTCCTTGATCCATGCTGCTCCAAACTTCAGTTGGCTTGATGCTGGATTGGGGTCCCCAAACAGTAACAGATCACCTACATTGTCTCCATAAAACGTCCACGACAAATCAAAGGCACGGGAGTAGGAGTACGGAACATAGTCGTACTCTTCGATGCACTTCCCTTCCTCACTTGCCCTGATAGCTCTCACAGCATGCTCGGCTGATTTTCTGGCATGGTCAACATGCTCAACTCTTCTCATGTCATCGTACAATTTCATATGGAAAGTAGCAACGTCCCCCACGGCGTATACATCAGGGACATCTGTTTCGAACATTCCATCAGTTTGGATTCCGCCTTTCTCTTCACCGACTAGCCCCTTGAACAAATCAATTAGAGGCTTTGCGCCGACACCAACAACAACAATATCAGCTTGCAGCACCCTACCATCCTTGAGTTTCACTGCCTTTACCTCTCCGTTTGTGTCAACATCGAACCCTACTGCAGTGGTGCCCTTGATCATTTGAACTCCTTCATTGGCGTAGTAACCCTCGTAGAAAGCGGCTATCTCTTTAGTGAAAAGCCGAGGCATGCACCACGGTTCCGGAAAAACCATGGTGACATCGAACTTGTTGATTCTAATAGCTGCTCCGACTTCAAGACCAATGTACCCTCCTCCAACAATCACTACCTTTCCGTTTTTCTTGGCTCTAATTGCCTCCACAAGTTTATCGGCATCACTGATTTCCCTCAAGTAGAAAATGTTTTTGGCATGATCTCCTTGCACACCAAATTCTGTCAACCTTATAACTCTGGAACCAGTTGCAATGATCAAAGTTTCGAATTCAAACATTCCCCCAGTTGCACTAGTGAGGATCTTTGAATGAAGATCTGCTTCGACTATTTCTGTGCTAAGAAGTAACACAATGCCTTTCTCCGCATACCACTCCGGAAGCAGCTTCTCTCCTCCACTTCCGACACAGACATGGAACCCTGGAAGCCTTGTAGCTCCTTCAGGAAGCAGATAGCCCTTACTAAGTGCCGGACGTTCATAAGGTGCAACGGCTTCTTTGGATATGATCGCTAACTCACCCGGTTCAAGCCCTTGCTTGACAAACTCCCTTGCTGCGTATCCAGCTGCAACTCCACCACCGATGATCACGTACTTAAACGACTTCTTAAGGGAAATCTCACTAAAGAGACTACCCTTTTCAAGCAATTCTTCAACTTCTCTAATTTTTTCATCAACAAGCTTTCCAAGATGTGCAATCGAGAGAAATTTCCTTTCGCCGAGTTTTTCAATAGTTAGTATTTGAGTTTTGATCCTTTCCACGTTCTCTAACCACTCGTAGACTTCATCGCATTGTGGTTTACTTGGAAGGAGAGGCTCGGCCTCTAGTTTTTCGATTATATCTTCACTTTGGCTAATTAGCTCTTCCAACATTCCTCTTAGAGTGTTCATATTATTAACTTCAAAGTTTTGTCGATACTTTAACCATCGTGTAATCAGAGCCCATATGAACATTATTCGTTCATAAATCGGTGTCAGAAATCCCATAGCTTCCTGCACATCACACCAGAACAATGCAAGATAATTTTACCCTGAATATTGTTGTGCTAAGATAGCACCAAACCCGTTGGAACCAACTCTTGATAACTCACAGGAAATATATCAAATGAAATGCAAGAACAAAATATTAAAGACACCAAGATTTTAACGAGGTTCCTCAACAGTCAGTCAGTGTAACTAGAGTACGTCCTCGAAGCAGTAGGAGGAGCTCACCCAATAATCCACTATCAACCAAATGGGAGTTTTACAAAGTGTTGGCAATCTCACAACCCAAATAACCCAATACACCCAATAACTTCACACACTCTAAAGACACTCAAAAGAGAAAGAAATATCGTGATTAATTAATTTCTTCTCTATACAAAGCTCAAAGCTATTACAACAATAACACTTTGATGGAGTACACTCAACTAAAATGATGGAGTGAGAACTATCCAATGAAAAGGAACAACTCCTTCTCTCAAAATGGTACTGCAGCACCTTCTTTCTCTCTCCTCCTCTTCTCTCTTCGGCTCACCAATTTTCTGCTCACTTAAAAAAACAAAGGGCAGCAGCTTCCTTATCATAACATAGCCATTCATTCAAGTCACCCCGTGACTTCCCATGGACCAAGAAAACTTTAGACAAAGTGCTTTTCTTTTCCCCAAAACAAGGAAGAAACATCATAATGTTGTCCCTTTTTCTTTTCCTTTTTTTTTTTTAATAGCCGAAAGTTGTTTGTTTGGCCATAATTCAACAATCTCCACCTTGGCCAAATTCCGAAAACACCATGATAAGCCAACCAACACAATCAACACAAAAATCACTCCCAAACACTAGCAAGAGAACAACTCATGCCGAGCCAAATGCTCCAAAACTCCTACTGCTCAACGCCTTCTTTATATAGGCATAATGTGAGCCAAGTTCAAACAGTGAACAAACTTGGCTACACCAACAACCTTAGTCAACATATCAGCGGGGTTGTCTTTAGTTGGAATCTTCTGGAGAATGATTTCCCCTTCACCAACAATTTCACGAACAAAGTGATAACGCACATCTATGTGCTTGGTCCTCGCATGATGAACCTGATACTTAGCCAAATAAATGGCACTCTGACTATCACAATGTACCTCCACCTGCTTCTGATCAACCCCCAAATCTCTAATCAACCCATGTATCCAAATGGCCTCCTTTATAGCTTCAGCAACTGCCATATATTCAGCCTCTGTAGTAGACAAGGCAATAGACGACTGCAAAATCGACCTCCAACAAACTGGTCCTTTAGCCATAGTAAACACATAGCCTGTAGTAGACTTCCTTCCATCCAGATCACCTGCATAATCTGAATCAACATAACCAACTGCAAAATGACCAATACCAGAGTCATCTCTCTCAAAGCATAAACCAACATCTCGAGTACCATGGAGATACCTCAATATCCACTTAGCTGCTTGCCAATGCTCTTTACCTGGATTATGCATATATCGACTCACCATGCCAACTGCATGAGCAATATCCGGTCTAGAGCATACCATTGCATACATCAAACTACCAACCAAATTTGCATATGGTATATTTTTTCATTTGCAGCTTCTCTTTATCATTTTTAGGACATTGTAGAGAACTCAATTTAAAATGAGGAGCCAAAGGGGTACTAACCGGTTTGGTTGAATCATGAACTCCAAACTTCCGAATCAACTTCTCAAGGTATTGTCTTTGATTCAAACTGACCAAACCCTTCTCTCTATCTCGAGTGATCTCCATGCCAAGGATCTTCTTTGCTTCACCAAGATCCTTCATCTCAAACTCATTCTTCATTTGTTTCTTCAATTTCTCAATCTCTTCAACATTCTTTGAAGCAATCAACATATCATCAACATATATCAATAAATAAATGAAAGACCCATCTTGCAACTTCTTGAAGTACACACAATGATCATATTGACTTCTAGAATAATTTTGGCCTCTCATAAATTTATCAAACCTCAAATACCATTGTCTTGGAGATTGCTTCAAGCCATAAAGTGATTTCTTCAATTTGCAAAACAAATTCTCCTTCCCTTTCACTATATACCCATCCGGTTGACACATATAAATCTCTTCATTCAAATCACCATGTAGGAAAGCCGTCTTCACATCAAGTTGCACAAGCTCAAGATCATACTGTGCAACAAGAGCTAACATAATGCGAATTGAGGAGTGCTTCACAACCGGAGAAAAGATTTCATTGTAGTCAATGCCCTCCTTTTGTGCATACCCTTTAGCAACTAATCTTGCTTTGAATCTCACATTGCTTTTCTCATCAGCATCTTCCTTCTTGGCATACACCCATTTGCAACCAATAGCTTTCTTGCCCTTAGGCAATTTAGCTAACTCCCAAGTCTTGTTCTTCAAGAGAGAATTCATCTCATCACCCATGGCATTGCACCACCTCTCCTTCTCCTCACTCTCAATGGCTTCCTCGAAATTGGATGGAATCTCATCAGTGATAATAGGAAGAGCAAAAGAAACATAGTCACTATACCGAGCTGGCTTGGTAATTTGTCTCTTTCCTCTGTTCTTGGCAATAGACTCTTGAGGTGAAACTTGCTCTTCAACTTGAATAGAATCTTCAAGTTCAACTTCTTCAACATCCTCATGGTCTCCCACTTCTTCACTTGTAGTGGCTTCGACATCAGCGGAAATAGGATTTGAAGTACCAGAGGCAACTTTCTCAAGCTCCACCTGTTGGACATCTTTCACATTCTTCTCAGAGACTTTGTACATACTTTCTTCGTCAAATGTCACATCTCTACTAATTACCAGTTTCTTCATCTCTGGACACCACAACCTGTAACCTTTGACACCACTACTAAAACCAAGAAAGATAGCCTTTTTGGCTCTAGGATCAAGTTTATTTTCAGTTACATGAAAATAAGCAGGTGAACCAAAAATACGAATATGATCATAATCAGAAGAAGGTTTTCCAGTCCATACCTCCATTGGTGTCTTACCCTGAATAGCAGCTGAAGGTAACCGGTTGATGATGTGACATGCATAATTAACTGCTTCTGCCCAAAATGACTTGCTTAAACCCGACTGAGACAACATACATCTAACCTTCTCAAGCAAGGTTCGATTCAATCTTTCTGCAACTCCATTTTGTTGTGGAGTTCCCCGAACACTAAAATGTCTCACAATTCCTTCCTCTTTGCAAACTTTAAAGAAAGGGTCGGATGTGTATTCACCACCATTATCCGATCTCAAAATCTTAATCTTTCTCCCAGTCTGGTTCTCAACCATTTTCTTCCAACTCAAGAAAATGCTCAACACCTCACTCTTGTGCTTCATAGTGTAGACCCAAGACCTTCTTGAATAATCATCAACAAAGGTCACGAACCAATGTCTACCACTCAAAGAGGGAGTCTTTGTAGGACCCCAAACATCCGAATGCACATAATCAAGAATGCCCTTCGTCTGATGTACAGCAGTACCAAACTTCACTCTAGTTTGCTTCCCCAAGACACAATGCTCGCAGAAATCAAGCTTACAAGTCGTGGCACCTTTTAGAAGACCTTGTTTCACAAGCCCTTGTAGAGCTTTCTCACCGGCATGGCCTAATCTCATATGCCACAATCTAGTAGTATCTGAATCAGATGTGCCCATATTTTCAGAGACTACAAATGCTTCACCTGTCACAGTGCTTCCCTGCAATAAATACAAATGGCCACATCTATGAGCTTTCATCACAACAAGTGCACCATAAGTAACTTTCAATGTCTGTCCATCTGAATGAAACCTGAAACCCTTGGATTCCAAAGTACCCAAAGAAATAAGATTTTTCTTCAAATTCGGTACATACCGAACACCTGTCAACTCTTTAACCATGCCATCATGCAACTTCAAACGAACTGTACCAATCCCTTTTGTTGTGCAAGGATTGTCATCTCCCATGAACACAACGCCACCATCAAACTCTTTCAAGCTTGAAAACCAATTCTTGTGAGGAGTCATATGATGAGTACAACCCGTATCCAACACCCATTTAGTAGCACAATCAAAAGATGAGGAAGTGGTTAAAGCAAAATCAGAAAAATCTATTTCAACCTCAGCAACATTAGCTTCAGAACTTTCTTTTCCTTTGATCTTCAACTTAGGACAATCTTTCTTCCAATGACCCTTATTATGACAAAAGGCACATTCATCCCTTTCCAAAGGTTTTCTACCTTTAGAGTTTCCTCTAGGTCGAGACTGTGATTTTTTCCTACTAGAAGATGACCTCCTCTCCGATGATCTACCTCTAACAAATAAAGCTTCAGAGGTACTATCATGATTTTTATCTCTATGCCTCATTTCATAATTCATTAAGGCATTTGACACATCTTCAAATTTCACAGTTTCTTTACCATGCATAATAGTGGTAACAAAATGCTCATAAGAGTCCGGCAAGGAATTCAACAATATTAAGGCCTTATCTTCATCCTTAATATCCTCATCTAAATTTAACAAGTCGGCAATCAACTTATTAAAAGCATCAAGGTGTCTAATCATTTTTGTACCTTCTTTGAATTGAAAGCGGTAGAGCTTTTTCTTCAAGTGTAGCCGGTTCTCTGCACTCTTCGTCATATACTTGTCTTCCAATTTTTGCCACAACACACTTGCTACCATCTCCCGCATCACAAAATACTTCTGAGTTTTTGCAAGGCACAACCGAATTGAAGAGCAAGCCCACAAATTTAATTTTTCCCATTCTGGCTTCGACATAGCTTCCGGCTTCTCTCCCAAAGCGGCAAGTAGATCTTGTTGAGCCAACACATCTTTGACCTCACATTGCCACATCCCGAAGTTGTTTGTGCCATCAAACTTTTCCACTTCAAACTTTGCATTTTGCACCGTAGTTCTTGCAAACCCGGAGCTGCTTCCAAAAGGATTCTCATCTTGCCCGTCTGACATCTTTGGCAACTAGACAGTACCCAAGAGCAACCAGTGCTCTGATACCAATTGTTGTGCTAAGATAGCACCAAACCCGTTGG